CTTTATCTTAAGTAATATCACAGACAAAAGTTAGAATTTAATTTGCATTGCTAAAATAGTTACAAGACGGCTAATAATTTTAACATAAACGTTGTATATTTTGCACAAGAGAAAAAAATTTGTAGCCCTTTGTAATAAAATTAGTTACAACTAAAATTTGTATGTGAACTATAGCATGTTTATATTCAAAGTAATCACAATTTTATAAGAATTCCAGCAATGTTAATTATATTCTTCCAAGTCAGTTTAGTGATATTTCATAAGAGAAAACCTGAAAGTCACTGTTAAGGACAGATAAATAAATAAGCTCTAGACCTTGGCATCAACTGTCAAACCGATAACCCTCCTCCCCATCTTGCCGCGAATCCGATCACGAGTAAACGGGCCATTTCGCGTCTCGTAATTTTAGCCGCGTCGATTTACGAGCGTCCGTTTTAACGCGATACTACAAAAACGATGTTTTGTAGGAGATGGGCCGAGGTGCATTTGGGTATATTGGGTCTTTTTAGTATTTTGTGTTAGTCTCGAGTACCAAAGTAAATTGTTCCATTGAAACCACTTTAATTGAGTCCAAATTTGGTTTAAAGCTATTAGCTCTCTAGGAATGCGCCTCGCGTCACATCGACGTCGTACCGTACGTGCGTCGGTCACCGACGCGTACGCGGGACCGGTAACAATTTTACGTAAACGCGTCGACGACGTAATATTCGACAATGCCGTCGGGTCGTCGACGTCCCGTTTCTTCGTTTAGTAAATAGTCGTGGCGATTTTTGTCGCGCGCGTGTCCGTCGACGGGCACGCCGAGGGCGGTCCGTCCGCGGATGCGGGCCCGCTCGAGATTCGGCCCGTATTGCGCAGTCGTACGGTCCGTCGTCGTTTGCGAGAAGTACTCGTTTACGTAGTCTCGCGTGCAGTATATTGCATTTTCTAGCAATAGACTAGTTACGATCGTAGATTAGTTCCATCACGTAGGGTATCGTCTCGCCGTCGGCCCGGGACACACCTCCGGCCACTCGACACTCTGCTTACCGGTCCACGACACAAATTAAAAATGATCAACACGATATTTTACGAGGGCATTATGATTGATTTATAATACCCTATGCAATGGTTGTATAGATGTAGTGCAGTATAATTATTAAATGCAGGCAGCATTCACATCACAAACTTAACCCACAGAAGAAGTCGCCTCGGGCAGCGGAAGCGCGATCCGGGAGAAGGACACGAAGAACGACCGTAGATCGTCGCTCCGGAGACGGGTCGGCGAGTGCCGCTCTCCGACGCGAGACGATCGTCGAGAATAACCTACGTGTTTTTCTATTTTTATGGATGCTATTTTAAGGATAACTAAAGCTCAGTCAACGGTTATTTTAGCTTAAGGTCATATTATACGTGTATTTGTAATGTACAGTATTTCATTGAGTAAGAATGCTAAAACTTGCCCGGCGGTCGACCCCCAAAACAACTGCGGCGACCCGCTCCGGCACTCGAGAAGACGGAAGCTCCGAGTACACGACGTTAAAGATTAACGGATAGTTTGACGACTATACCACCCCTTGTTCCCTCTACCTCCAGCTAAATGTATCCCTCCCTCCACTTACCACTCTTCCTTTCCTCATCTATTATCTTTCCCTTCCACCCCTCTATCCCACCATCTGTCCCCCCTCCCTTTCTTCACGTACCATTCTTCCTTTCCTTATCTATTATCCTTCCCTTCCACCCCTCTATCCCTTCCCTCCACATACCACCTTTCTCTCCTAGCACCTGTCGTTCCTTTTTTGTGTTTTATTTAATAAGTTTTATAGTATATGATGGTCACCTTATTAATAATGTACCATTTTGTGTGATTACAATTACACTACACACACTTAGTCGAAGTGACCAGTTATTAGTGTTGATATTAATGGGATAAATATTAGATAAGTTTATTGGAGTTTGCTATAAAATATGTGACTATAATTATAAATTGTGAGTGTGAAGAAGGGTTTATAAGTTGTATATATGTCAATTAGAGGAACAAATAATTTGCTAACCACACCCGAGTCCTTCAATGGAAAACGCATCGAAATGCGCAGCGGCGGGAGAATAATGCGGCGACACGCGTAGAATACTCGTACGCCACTCTCGGGCACGTACGTTTCCATTTACTAAAGTTAGGTGGGTTTGTTTGGGTGGCGTGGGACCCAGAGGGCATCGGCAGGCGGTCGCGTCCGGCGGTTGCCGTGCGAGAAATTGGGAGGACGGGCTTTCACGTTGCAGAAAGTAAGGAACGGCATCTTCCGGCGGAACCACAGCCCGCGATTAAAGGAACGCTCGGGTTTGACGCCCACGGACCGAGCGCGCGGCTCCTCCGCCGTAACAAGAGTAGTCGATTGAAGTCCCCTCTTTTGCCTGGGTGGATGTGTCTGTGCTAACCGTTTTAGGCAAGTGAATGTTTGGTACAGCAGATTTGGGGATTCATTGTAGGGTAGACTTGCCATACAGTGCAGTGTTTTAATTGGTATTATATTGCGGCGATCGGCGAGCACGGAGACCGAAGCCTCACTCGACCGTGTCTCGGGAGGCGTGGGGTTTGGTCCGAGGCCACTCGCAGTCATCGTCGAGGGTATAGTCCGGAACGCCGTTCGACGCGACGTCTCGTCGAAATTCCGGAGCGGTCTTCTCGTCGCGGGGCGCGCCGGAGGTCGACGCTACGACGTTCCCGGAGGGGCGTCGTCGTCGTCGTCGGGTATTTGACGTGCATCCGGAGTAGAACGAGGGCACGCGTCGAACCGTCGAAAGTGCGCAAGAAATGAGATCGCGTAAATAACGGCAGATTAATTTCGTCGACACTCGTACGTATAAGAGTGCAAAGTAAATAAATAATACGTATTTTTTTTATGGGAATTAGCCCACCCGGGCACGGGTCACCGACCCACATCGGGGCGAAAATGTAATAATAATAATAATAATTGTTGAAGTTACAGTGTTCATTTTTGGTGGATATCAACGAAATATGATGCGAGAGGCTCAGACGACGACACAAACGACGACGCTCTCTCCGGTATATTTTCGGGACCGTCCGTAAAAACGAAACCAAAACACGCGTGCGCATTCAAAGTGGCGCTTTATTCCACAAGTAAAATAAAACATATTGACATAAATATGGGGTAACCTAGTTTATATGTAACAATAATACTGAAGAACCTTAAAGAAATACAAAATGGAAAAAAAAATCAAAAGTGAGGAACAATAGATTTATGTTGTGTTGTAAGAGAAACAATCGAGACAGAGAGTCAGACGAGCGACCCGGGACTCGGTCACAATTTTAGGGATGCCACGTAGCAGGAAGATCTACCACGGACGACACATTACGCTTCCAATATTGTCTGCGGAGGTGGTATCTCCCCGTTTGGTGGCTGCCTAAGTATGTAAGATTTTCCAATGGAAAGTGTATGTTTGGCAAATGTATCCAGGTCTTTAGAGAATGTACTCAGATATTTGGGTTAGGTGTCAAGGGTTCATGTATAATTTGCATGCCTAATTGACTATGTATATTTTTTAACCTTAATTTTTCATTTGCAGTCACCCGACGGGAGTCAGAAACGTCATTTTTGTGCGGACCGGCGACTCGACGGACCCCGGCCGAGGACGCCGCTCGAACCGCGGGTGAGAATGTCGGACGACGCCGTATTGTAATGTTTATATCGCAGTGTACGGTATTTACTTAATGGTTCTGTGAAGAATAGGAATGCGTATGTGGCGTGCCTCGGCGTCTCCGTAGGAATTGCGTAGAGTAAGTGGAAGGTTTTTAAGGGAGACGAGAATTTATTAAGCGGCGCGTCGTCGACGAAATATCGAAGGAAGTTTTGACCGGTTACCGAGAGGAAATAAGACGGGAATTTACGAGTAAAAGAGTAGTAGAACGTAAAGATAACGAGGGAGAAATGAAAATGCGACCGACGACGAGACTCGGGTGCCATCGAAAATGCGTAGAGGGACGGACATTACAAGTGTTATAATGAGAGTACTTAATTTAGCATAGAGATATAGAATTGAAGGTGTCATATCTGGTCTAAAAGTGTTGGATACAATATGAAAAGTATTATTAAAAAATGGGAGTTTAACCCATAAGCCAAGGGTTAGGGTGGTGCTGGCACTTCCCCCTCCCTTCCTATTGGGATAAATCGAGAAACAAGATGAATTCTCCCCACCCCCTCCTCCACAAAGGGGAGACCAGATGGACGTCACCTGGGTGTAAGGGTTAAGAATGTAGTAGCTTGTAATGGAGGATGAGGTATATGTATTTATGTCCTATGTTTTATACTGTATTGCAAGTAGGCGTTATTGTATGCACATTGCGGGTCATAATAGGAACGCGGCACGCCGGAGGCGGGTACACGGGACGATCCCTCGGAACAGAAGCCGAAAGTTCGTGGCGTGGGTATATCCACTTCCCTTAAAAGTGTAATTAGGGATCCTCCTCAGACACATTGCACCATTTGAACGCAGACGTAAGATTATCCTCATCGCCGTACACGTCCCGAGGAGACGAGGCGTATCGAGTTTACGCGGATGCATACGAGACGTTTCCTTTCGAGTACGGGTAGTTCTGCTATAATGCGATAGTTGTGTTCTTGTAAAACATCGTGTTATAGAAATTCGTGTAATAGAAATGACAGGGCTTATGGAGAAAATAGGGTTAGGTGCAGATTACTCCAAATCGACAAAAATTTCGTAGTACAGTCTAAATAAATGTTACATTGATATCTAATATTGAAATCATACAGTAAATGTTACACTTGACCTTGAAAAAATCTGAATATAACTTGATGGGGGAGAAGATTGATGTTGAGGAGTCATGAAACATCAAGCTTTTCTTCGAGTGTTATAGCCTTTCTTTTATGATCACCAGAGTGCTTCCAAGAGATATTCTTCTTTTCCATAGTCACAAAATTGGAGAAACAGTAATCACCGAGGACACTTAAAAATTTCACACGTGTTTCAAACAAAGTGTGGAGTAAACAGAGCGCGCGGGTCTAAAACGCTATGTATTTTGTTTTTCTCTTATTTAAAATTTTACATATACTGTAGAGGTATACTGTATACATAAATATTACATAAATTATTTGTGCAATTCTTCACAAACAAAACACATAAATCAATTGAACTTGCGATGTCGAACGTGAACTGTAAACACTGCATAACCCTGCGCCAAGCCACAATGTAAAGTACACTTTAAACGCTACTTATTTTGTTTTTCTCTTTTATTTAAATTTTTACAATTTACATATTCATATTATGCTACAGCGCCCACAAAACACGAGAAACGTTCGAGTCCCCCAGTAGAGATGTCCGTTCTCTATCCACTCGAGGATGTGTCGGTCGTGCGTTTTCTTTTTGTGTACTCGCTCGGGGACTCGAGTATTTCTGTTTATAACACAGGATGATAAGGGAATTTGAATTTATTTGTTGATTTATTTATTTATAATATACTGTAATATATTAAATATGCTGCAAGTATTTTCTTTAATTTATATACTTTTTTCTGGAAAAAGGGAGGCTACCATTATACCCGGTAATGTACATTTATGGCGATCGTTAAGGACCAAACTCCGAATCCGTGACGTGACTTCCGTTCATCATTTATGTCCTAAATTGACCAATGTGGGTAGTTTCAAGAATTAACGCAGTCATTTACCGAATATTCTTTGCCCAAAAATAAATTTCAAATGAATTATTTATAGGAGATAAGTATTATGATCAGTAAATATACCGATATGCATTACCGACCACAAGGACGGCTAAAAATAGGCACAGACGGTCACAGTCGAGGTCACTTTCCCTTTGTTGTCACTGTAGGACCTTGTGAGTGGTTTACTGTATACATAAATATTACATAAATTATTTCTGCAATTCTTCACAAACAAAACACATAAATCAATTGAATATGCGAAGTCGAACGTGAACCGTAAACACTGTGTGATGTAAAGAGAGCGCCGGTGTAAAACGCTATGTAATTTGATTGTCTCTTTTATTTAAAATTTTACAATTGACTTATAATATATAGGTATACTGTATACATAAATATTACATACATTATTTCTGCAATTGTTCACAAACAAAACACACAACTCAATTGAACACGCGATGTCGAACGTGAACCGAAGCCATAACAATCGTTCGAGTGGAATCGCGTCGGAGGAAACGAGTTCGCGTTTTACAAATATCGTTCCTCAATTCATAAATCGCGTCGTCAAAACACGCGTTATAGCAGAACTCGCCGTATAGTTTTTGGTTCACCGCCAACACGTTTATCCTCGTACCGGATCTCCGTCGTCGCGTATTTTTACGCGACATCTGCGGAAGTTACGTTCACAGACGTAAATGGTACGACCTCGAGAGCACGACGTACATTCGGTCGTAAAGTACACCGGTCCGGATCGAGTGGACTTTCCCAATCGTCTTATAGATTTCTCGAGTTCTTGGGAATGGTACGAATATGTACAATTAATATTATGTTATGTATAGGTATATTGTATGTTTTTTGATAATCGTTAAGTATGGGAGGTGGCGACGTGCACACCGTACCGACGGGTGGAGGAGCGTCGAGTTTGATTTTGTATTAGGCGACGGGGTCGCGGGTATTTACGGAGATACGGCAGAGCGCGACGTCGGCGCCCGCGTACGGCACGAGCGGGAGGAGTAATTTGTGCGGGACGTAATTGTGGGGTAGTCGAGTATGCCTGTGTGTTTTAGTTGGCAATAGTGTGTAGATATGTTTGTGTATAGGTATACTGTAGAAAGAATGAAGTTAGATGAAGTTTGTTTGGGAATTAGTATAATTTGTAATAGTAGATAATTGTCGATATATTTTGACAGTAATTTGTCCGTTTCAGTTGCGGAGGAGCGCGCCGATACGAGTCGGAGACGGCTCGTACAGTCGGCGCACGAGAGCGGTCCGGACGAAGACATTCGGGAACCGAGGACGAAGACGCTCGTCGACTGCGGACGAAGACGCTCGTCGACTGCGGACGAAGACACCGGTCGACGCGCGAGGAAGATGCTCCGGAACACGGGAAGAACGCCACACTCCCGAGTGCGGGAAGACACTCGTCAACGCAGAAGGAGACACGCATCAATGTCGGGCCGGCGCGATTGTTTTAAAGACGATTTAACGTGTAAAATGAATGTACGTGTTGTTTGTAACGATTGTTATAATGTTTGTAGTATTGTTTTTAGAGACCGACTCTGCGAAGACGGAGGAAGTCGATACATGTCGAGAATGAATTTATTGAAGATGTTGCCTGTGATCACTAGGTGTTTGCACTAATTTGGGGAGATGATTACGATCGTAGAACGTCACGGAATGCGGCGACGCATCCGTAAATAACGGCAGCATAAATACGAGAGAACGCGGCGGCGGCGGGGAAGTGCGCCTTTTGAAAGTAAAAGAACGGGGGAGATCGGACCGACATAGATGGTGTTGTTGTGGTAACCGATAAGAATGGAGAAATGATGACTATTTGGTGGGTTTTTTAGGACAGAGAGAGTAGTTATATATTAGTGAAGATATAAAGTAAAAGGTGATAAGGATGGTGGTGGGGGGACAACGAATGATATATTTTGTAGGGTATTAAAGGAATTGACTCGTCAGTGCCGAGTCGGCGTAATTGTGAGAAACGGATGCGACGGGGATTGTAAAGAAGTCGCGCGGTAGAGGAATTGGCGGAAGCGACGATCGCAATAACCTTTCGACGTGGGACGGACGACGACGAATTTAGTAAATGGCGGTTTAGGAAAGGGTCGTACGTAAAGCGGCGGGTGCGGGCGCGTGCGGATACGGACGACGGTCGATCGGGGTCCGTTTACGGGACGGGAAAGAGGACCGACGGAGAACGGACGGGAATTCGGACGGAGACGAGGCGGCGCACAAACGAAAGTATACCCGCGAGATGCGTAAAGAATGATTTGGAAGTAGATTTAACTAAGAGTCGCGTGTTTGAAATGGCGGGAAGGTTCGACAGGTGTATTAGTTTTACGTAATTGTGGCAGTGCGTTTGAGAGCGGGCAGTCGTGGAGTGCGCGTGGGTACCTATTTTGAGACCGCGACATCTACCGGTAAGGAAATACGTAATGCAGCAGTAATATATTTTTGGCCTGAATTTATACTCGTTCACCCGTACTCCGTGTTGCTCCACTCGTGTTAAGGTGTTTATTGTGAAGGCGTTTGTATAATAATAAAATTTGTTGGACGAGTAGGGGAAGGAATACGAGCACAATGTTTAATTTGTAAGCCCTCCCTTTTTTGTCTTTTCCCTCTGCCTCCCCGTCCTCCTCCTCCTTTTTTGACGTGTTTGTCGTGCGGCTTCTTTTCCCTCCGTTTCATTGCAACTCCCTTCGTTTTTCTCCCCCCTACCTGCTTCTGTCCGTCCTCTTCTTCTTCCTGTTTCCTTCTTTTACTCCTCCTCTTCGCCATATGTCTTCCTTGTTTATTCTTTGGCTTGTTCTGCGTCTGTTCCTTCTCCTCCTCTGTTTGATTGTGATTCCCTTGTTGTTTCTCACCCTCCCATTGCTCTTGATCCTGTTGTTACTCCCATTTGTTGGTTGTTTTTGTGTTCCTGTATATGTTTGTTGTTACCAATTGAATTTGTGGTTGTATTACTGCTGCTGTGTGTATGTTGGATTGTATTTATTTGTTGTTATATATATGTTGTGAGTGTGAATTAGATATATTGTGTTGATATTTGACTAAATGTTGTTGTTAAGAAGAGGAGGAGTTCTATTTAGATTTGGAAAGTAACTGTCATCGAGGACGAGAATGCACGTACCGTCTGTAGTTTGAATACGCGGTCGCGTCGGGTTTGGGCAGTTATATATCGGGAAATAGTTGAAGAGTGTAAGTTAATGTTGTGGACTTGTGAAATTGTTGATTGTGGAATAGTTATTGGTTTTAATTTGAAGGGTGTCAATTGCGCACCGGGAATATTTTGTCGGGAGTTTCGCGTCGTCGGAATCGACCGGAACGGCCGGAGTCGCGGAGTTATTTTTTGTCGTCGTAGATTCGTTCGCGGAGTCGTAAAAAATGTGGCGTCGTCGACGAAAGTCAATCGTCCGCGGATCGGTCGTCTTCGAATATTTGTAGACTTGTATATGTTTGTTTGTAATTGATTGAAGTTATTTGTAGTTTGAAAAATGTTTTGACTTGTTGTTGTTGTTTGATTATAGTATAGTCATTTGTGCAGTTTGAAATTATTTTGGTTTGTGGATTTGGAAAATGTGTTGCATGTATGTGGACTTTGAATAAGTGAGATATTTTGTGGATTTTGTATATTTTTCATGTTTGTGGACCGAAATGTCGTACCTCTAGTCGGGCAACCTCGGGACCGGACCGGTGCCGGACCATGGAAATTGACCCTTTTCCTGGATAGATAGTGACTTGTGCTTATGCTTGGAAGCACTAGCACCACTTTCTCTGCATCACGGCCTCTTTGAAGACATATTGAAGGGTTAAATGTCGTATAGTAGCTCGTCAAATTTGGAGAGTTTTTAATTCTTAACGTATTTTATTGGAACAGAGCCAAAAATAAATAAATAGAAATTTTGACGGCGGAAAGTGGAATTTCGACGGGTTTGAACGGCCCGCCAACGTGCAGACGACTGGCACAATCGCGTAAAGAGCGTCATTTCTCTCGTGTAGAAAAGATTCATTATTGAATGTCTTTTTTATTGAATTACTGTTTGTGTGCAAAATGAGCAATACAATTCATTAATAATACGTAGAATATTAAAACACACGGCATTGTTTTCGTCGATTACAAAACCGGTGACTGACTGGTTCTACATATAAAAGAGAAGAAAATAAGACCTTGGCTGTAGCTGTAGTCAAATGACTATGGTTGTTTTAAGTAATGTTAATAAATGGAACAATAGAAGTAGCTAACGATAACGGTAAAGAAAAAAAAAGAGATCGCGCGCGTAAGTGGGCATGCGAAAAGATATCGTCATTACTTTACGTAAGAATACGAAAGCAACACTTATTTACTGTTCATATCTATTTTAATTGATGTTTGTGAATTTGTTTTTATTGAATTAATGTTTGTGTGTGCAAAATTAGCAATAGAATTTATTATTAATACGTGGAATATCAGAGGAGACGAGACGAGACGAGACGGCTGCCGGCATCGTTTACGTTAAAGCTCACAAAACCAGTGACCGATTGGTTGTACATATAAAACTGAAGAAAATAAGACCCTGATTTTAGCTGCAGTAAAATTAATGTAAAAAAATTAATATGCTCGTTTGAAGTACGTGTAATGTTATTTAATGTTAAAAAATGGAACAATATAAGTAGTTAACCATAAAAAAAGTGAGTGCGCACATGTGAAAAGATATCGTCATTACTCTACATAAGAATATGAAAGCAACACTTATTTATTGCTGAAGGGTTAAATGTTGTACTCTATAGACAAAGAGAGAGAGAGAGCAGCTGAAGTGCTGGATGTAAACAAACCTTAATTTCCTGGGGGTTTTTTTTTTAGGGGATTAGCCCACCTGGGCATAAGTCACTGACCCACAATTTAATACTCCTGCTATAATAATGATAATTTCCAAGAAAAAAAAAAAAAACTGCCTATGTACCTGTTGGAGAAAGTAAAATTGTTTTGGACCACGGGAGTTTGCGGAGCACAGAATGCCGGACTAGAGAGTTACAACCTGTAGTTGTTTGTGGACTTGAAATTGTTAACCTTTGTGGACTTTGAATAATTGATAATGTTTGTCGACTTTGAATTTGTTTTGCCTTTTGTGGACCGGGAAATTTACGCGTCGGGTCCGAGGACCGGCAATAATTATCGACGCACGCGAACTCGGAATAACGTATTACGCCGGTGGAATCGGACTAATTTTTTATCCCGTGTGGACTTTGAATAATTGATGATGTTTGTGGTCTTTGAATAATTGTGTATTTTGTGTGGAATTGGAATAATTGTTATCCTTTGAAAATGTCTCATTGTTTGTGTATTTTGAATAATTGTCAATTTGTGTGGACTTTGAATATTTTGTGGACTTTGAATAATTTATTGTTTGTGTACTTGGAATAATGATCAATTTCTGTGGACTTTGAATATTTTGTGGACTTTGAATAATTTATTGTTTGTGTACTTGGAATAATGTTCAATTTATGTGGACTGAATAATTAATGATGTTTGTGGATATTTGAATATTTTGTTATGTTGTGTGGACTTTGAATATTTTGTGGAGTTTGAATAATTTATTGTTTGTGTACTTGGAATAATGTTCAATTTATGTGGACTTTGAATAATGTATAATGATTGTGGACTTTGAATATCCTTTGTGGACTTAGTATTAATTTATCCTGTGTGGACTTTGAATAATTAATATGTATGTGGACTTGTTATTATTTTATTGTTTGTGGACTTTGAATAATTGTCAATGTAGACTGAGTATTTTTGTCATGTTGTGTGGACTTAGAATAATTTGTATCCTCTGTGGACTTGTAATAATTGTTAATGTATGTGGACTTGGAATAATTTATGATGTTTGTGGAGTTAGTATTATTTTAGCCTTTGTGTATGTGTAGTTGGTATGTTTTTTCTGTTTGTGGACTTTGAATATTTTGTGGATATAGAAAATGTTTTATCGTCTGTGGCTCCGTATTAATGTATTACGTCCGTGGACCGGGAATAATTTTGTATCGTGTGTGGACTTGTAAAAATTTTCATTGTTTGTGGACTTAGATAAATGTTCATATGTTGTGGAGTTAGTATTATTTGAACTTGTGTGGACTTGTAATAATTTTCAATGTTTGTGGACTTAGAATAACTTTTAATGTATGTGGACTTTGAATAATTGTCATCGATTGTGGACTTATTATATTTTTGATGTTTGTGGACTTTGTATTATTTTATTGTTTGTTTTTGTATTTGGAAATATTGTCATTGTTTGTGGAATTAGAAAAATTTTCATATGTTGTGGAGTTAGTATTATTTTATCCTGTGGACTTGTAATAATTTTCAATGTGTGTGGACTTGGTATATTTTTCATATTTTGTGCTTTGAAATATTGTCTTTGTTTGTGGACTTAGTTTTTTTTCCTCTTGTGGAATTGGACTAATTTATGTTTGTGGACTTGGAAAATTTTTTTATCCTTTATGGACTTAGAAAATTTTCATGTTGTGTGGACTTAGAAAATTTTCATGGTGTGTGGACTTAGTATTTTTTTGTTGTTGTGTGGACTTAGTTTTTTTTCCTGTGTTGTGGACTTAGAAAATTTTTTGTTGTTTGTGGACATAGAATAATTTTCATGTTGTGGACTTAGTTTTTTTTTCCTGTGTTGTGGACTTAGAAAATTTTTTGTTGTTTGTGGACATAGAATAATTTTCATGTTGTGGACTTAGTTTTTTTTTCCTGTGTTGTGGACTTAGAAAATTTTCCATCCTTTATGGACTTATAATAATTTCATGTGTGGAATTAGTATTTTTTGTTGTTGTGTGGACTTAATTTTTTCATGTGTTGTGGACTTAGAAAATTTTTCGTTGTTTGTGGACAGAATAATTTTCATGTTGTGGACTTAGTTTTTTTTCATGTCATGTGGACTTAGAAAATTTTTCATCCTTTGTGGACTTATAAAATTTTTCATGGTGTGTGGACTTAGTATTTTTTGTGGTGTTGACTAAGTATGTTTTTGGTTGTGTGGACTTAGTAAATTTTTCGTTTTTGTGGACATAGAAAAATTTTCATGTTGTGGACTTAGTTTTTTTTCATGTGTTGTGGACTTAGTATTTTTTTGTTGTGTGGACTTAGTAATTTTTTGTTGTGTGGACTTAGTATTTTTTTCATGTGTTGTGGACTTAGTATTTTTTTGTTTTGTGGACTTAGTATTTTTTTGTTGTGTGGACTTAGTATTTTTTTCATGTGTTGTGGACTTAGTATTTTTTTGTTGTGTGGACTTAGTAT